TTACCTAGGCTGGGGTAGAATTTGTGATCCTTCTACCTTGGCCTACCAGAGTGTTGGGATTACAGGAGTGCACTACCATATCCAGCTGGTATTTCCATTTTAGAGGAGGACAGCTCCCAAGCAAATAAATCTGTGCTCTGGTTAGTAGAACCAGCCCCCAAATCCTCAGATGCACAACTTGCTGGTCTTGGTGGGGGAAAGGGGATTCTAGTAATTAGAAGCAAGTTGACCAGAGTTTCAGCTTTGCTACTAACCAGTTCTGTGATTTGGATGAGTGAGAACTTTTTGAGCCTAAGTTTTCTCATCTGTAACATAAGGTTATTTTTTTATTTGTTTTGTTATGTTTCTGATTTTAAGATTTTAGTAGCTTCTGCTTATGGAAGTATGAGAATATACCATATTATTTGTCCCAAAATAGAAAGAAATTGGTAAGCAGTGTTTGAAAATCCGCTGTCTGAAAAGTTGTTCATCCTTGTGACAAGGTAGTCAACTTGCTGAGTCATCCTGGGAAATTTGTAACTAAATATTATGGCTGAGTAGTCAAACTATAAAAGTGAATATACAAGCCAAGCACAGTAGTACATGCCTGTAATAATGCTAGCACCTTGAGAAGCTGAGGCAGGAGGATCCAAAGTTGAGCCCACCTTGAGCAATTTAGCAACTGATAAAAAATAAAAGAAGAAATGGGGGTGTAGCTCAGTGCAAAGGCTTTAAGCTCAATCTCCAGTACTAAATGCATATGTACACACACACACATACAGTGGAGAGTAAACATAGTACATACCCTTCCTCTTTCTTCATTTTGGCATCTGCCTATCCATCATCTGCCAGTATCCCTTAGTACATGTTTATGTAAAAAATGTCTATTTTATTTCATTAAAAGGGTTTTGCAGGGAGGGATGCTGGAAATGTAGTTTAGTGGTAAAGTACTTGCCTAGCATATGTGAGAGCCTGGGTTCCAGCTTCAGCACTGAAAAAATTAGTTATATTAGCATTGTATTTCAGCTATATTTCTAAGCAGTGGCAACATTTATTTGAGAAAGTAAAAGTGAAAAATGGGGGAGACACTGGCTGTCACTGAGAAAGAGCAAGCATGGGCAGAGTAAAAGGAGGAGAACACTCTAGAAAGAAGGGTGGGCTGGCATGAGGAAAGCCACAGTAGCCCAGCTATTTGTAACAGGTCTGAAGTCTTAGTTTCCAAGATTCTACCATTTAAAATTAAGAAAGGAGGAAAAGATTGTTTCTCATTATTACCTGAGAAATCCATAACTAAGGCCATTCTGTCTCCATGTTGTACTAGTAATAGTTTTTCAAAACTGAATAGTAGCCTTATCACTTACAATTGTATTAACCAGATAATATAAATTAAAAGCAGACTACTCACTGATTAAAATGTAAGATATATAGTCAGATTTCCATCACTGTGACAAAATGCCTGATATAAATCAACTTTAAGAAGGGAGGATTTGTGTTGGTTTATGATTTCAGAGGTTCCAGTCCATGGTTTTCTGGTTCCATTGCTGTGAGCATGAGGTGAGACATAACAGCATGACAGAGGGTGAGGTGGAGCAAAAGTGTTCTCCTTATAGCAGCCAGAAAGAGGGACGGAGGGACAAAGACATACAGACAGAAAAGAAAAGGATTGGGACAAAATACACTCTTCAGCCCAAAGAAGACACCAGTGACCTGCTTCATCCAATTAATCCCCACCTCCTAATAAGCCACTGAGCTATGAATTCATCAATGGATTGACCACTGATAAAATCAGAGCCAGGCACAGTGGTGCACACCTGTAATTCTAGCACTTAGGAAGCTGAGGCAGGAGTATTGCTGTGAGTTCAAAGCCAGCCTAGGCTACATTGTGAAGTTAAGGACATCCTGAACTACAGACGAAATTACCAAACAGATGAAATTAAAGCTCTTACAATCCCATTACTTCCCAAATGCTGCAGCTCTGAACACTGCTGTTTTAAGGACAAAGTCTCCGGTATATATGACCCTGGGAGGACATATCCTATCTAATCCATAATATTAGAGATGTTATTAAACAACAAACTGATATAGTAGTAAATAAATATCTACATTTTAAAGTAACAAAATTATAAGGTACAAACCACAAACTTTTCTAAATTGTATTTGGGTATTATTATTATCTTGGTATTTTGTAGTTGTATGTAACATTTTCTAGATCTAGCTAAAAATGCTATACCCCTGAGCTGAAAAATGAAAGATTTCAATAAAGTTGATACTGTAAAATGTAGGGTTTTGCTGTCTGCAATTGGCCTCATAGGATTCAGTACAAGTATCACTCAACTCCATTGACTTTAACATAAAGACCACTTACTGAGGCACTTTAGTGACTACTATTATGTTAGATTATCTGGTGGTTAAACACAATGATGCTTGAATTGCTCGGTTCTGCCCTGCGTTGTTCTGTTACAATGTCCTCTCTTATCTCAATCTTCCCCCTATTTTTAAATTAATCTATTTTCTCTCATTTTTTTAATTAAGGGAAAACTAAATTAAAGAATAACAGGACATATTATAGTAACTTTTTTGTTGTCCTATTAACCTGACTTGAACCCCAGTATTGCTCTCCCCATCTTGTTCTGTCTGATTATTATATATTTTATTTTGTTTGATAGTATCAAGTTTGAGGGCATAGTCAATCACTTTGAAGGCAATAAGATATACTATGATGCCCAATATGGACTATCATCCTTTTTTTTTTGAAGTCCTATAAGGTCCTCAGTGTAGATTTTATTGGTTTTGTTCCGTACTATTTTGATCAATTCTATTATACCTGATGATATAGACAACTCAATTTAAAAATAGCAAAAGGCACAATGGTAACCACTTTTGATCACCTGGTATTCTATTTTTGCATCACGTGCTATGCCCACCCTTCTGTTCTGACTTTGTTTTGCTTAGTCACATTTGTTTTTATTCTCTTCAAAAAAGTAATAAGAACCGCGAGAGTAATAAAACCCTAAAAGTCTAATTGTTACTGTAAAAAAGAGAGGAAAGTAAGGTGGACTAAGGGATATAACTGCAGGTATGTTCAAGAGTGTAGGATGGAAAACTATATAACTGAGCTTTTTGTTGGATCATTGAATGGAACTGTCTCCAATTTCACTGTGTGAATGTTCACTTTATATGCTTTAATTTAGTGATATGGACAACTGTTTCTGGGAACATAATATGTAACCTGTTAACTGGTGATTTCATACTGTATATATTTTTTTCTAGAAATACTGTATTATTTGTACCCTTTTACTGCATTGTTTTTTTATGTCCTTTCCTTTTTTTTTTTTTTTTTCTTCTCTCTTTAAATAAAAAAAAAAAGACACTTACTAGTAAAAAATATGCTGAGCAATTTTGGGTGCTAGGCATAGTACTGTGCCTAGAATTGAAACAAGTAACAGCCCCTGTCCTGGAGGAGCTAGCAAAGGGATAAGACAGACAAGAAAAACACCAGGGAAAATAAGGCAAAGCAAATCAGGGGCTCTGTGGACTCAAAGAAAGATAAGGTCTTACATCAACAGGAGCTTTACTCAGTAATTAGGGGTGAGTGTGGAGACAGAATTAACTGCAGAGAAAGTGCCTACAATAATAGAAAAGCCCAAGTTTATACATGGCTTTAAAAAGATAGGCATTGGCGGGGGGGAGGGGGTCAAGGGATATATCATTTCAGTTAGATAAGAGGAATAAAGTCAAGCAATCTATTGTGCAACTTGGTACTATAGTTAATAATGTACAGTTTACTTGAAAATTATAAACACTAGATTTTGTTTTCTCCACCAAAAAATTTTTTTAAAAAAAATTACAGGAAAGTATGTGAAGAAATATTAACTCAACTTAGCCATTCATTCCACACTGTATACAAATTTCAAAACATCAGATTGTAAACTATAAATGTATACATTTTTGTGGTCTGGGGATACCTCCTATTTATCAATCAAATTTTTAAATTAAATTGAAAACAAAAATTCATAAACCTCTCTCTAAATTTGAACAACTACACAGAGAAAAGAAGCCCAGGCTGACGAGGACAGTAGTCAGCAATAATCTCAGGGGGTAAATGTAATATCCAGGATGTCGGTCACTTGTCACACTTTTATTTATACCTTTCTGAGTGGTCCTGTGCCAGCTGGGGATGTTTAGATAAATTAAACCTGGTCCATGAGAAATTTCACTATGGAGAGAGGACATAGGTAAATTTGGAACTTGGAAATTTTTCTAATGAAGACAAGATCAAGACCAGGACCAGGTAACCACTGGGCGTGGTGGCACACTCCTGTAGCCTAGCACTTGGGGGCTAAGCTAGGAGGAAGTCCTGTCTCAGAAAAAAAAAAAAAAAACAAGGACTGCAGATGTAGCTCAGTGCATAGGTTATAGGTCCTGGGTTCCGTCTCTAGCACTGCACACACACACACACACACACACACACACACATGAATCTATCCCAATTCGGAGGATCCTTGTACCTTTAAACACACCAAGCAGACTCCCAGTTTAGATGGCAGATAGTTTCCACGCCCCTATGAGCTCATAAGCAAACCTATGTTACTAGAGGAAAAGCCACATAATTTCTGAAAGGGAAACTCATGCTGCAGGAATGTACTAACATTTGCTGAAGAGTAAATCTGAAGATGAGGGCAACTATGTAGAAATTTTGAAGTATGAATTTTTTTAACTTTTGACACCTTTTGACATCAAAATATGTTTGGTTGTAGATGAAAATTAACACCGTTGGGGGAGTGTGGCATTCTGTAGTACTGTTTCTTTTTTTCCTATAGGAAAGGTGAGTGGCAGCCACAGGTATTGAGTTGACCTGAGCTGTCTCTCCAGGTTGCTCGAATGCAGTCTGAATACTCTTAAGAAAGGAATGTATGAGGGTTTTCTGCCATCCTGCATTTGGAGTTGGGTGGAGTCGGGGTGGGTGGAAAGGAAATAGATAATACAGCTATTATTAGCTATGAATGCAGACTCAGACAATAGATTGTGAAAACGGTTTGGACATTTTTTGATTTTATCTTCCCAGTCACTATTCATTCAGAGGGGGAAAAAGCCCCAAGGTCCCAGATAAAATATTCTTTAAGGCTGGGATGTGGTAAAGTTCTTGCCTAGCAAGTGCATAGCCCTGGGTTGGCTTCCCCGCATCAAAACACAAACAAAACAAAAATGTCCACAAATACTTGACGTTCCTCCTTGTAAGAGGTGGAGTCTGTTTTTCTCCTGAGTTGAGACATTTAGTGACTTGCCTCGAAGCCATAAGTTGACGACGGTTGGCGTGTAGCCTTGCGCTGGGAGAGCCCAGAGAGGAACTGAAGCTTCTGTGACAGCAGTGTGTGAGGGAAGCTTCCGGAGCTGAGGCTGGAGAGCCACAGGCCCAGCTGACATCCCCGTGTCACCCTCGGGAGACCCTGATTCCCGTTTCGTGACCCACAGAAATGGAGATTCTTTGCATACGATCTTTATTTTTGATTCTAACAATAGAAGAGCTTGTCCTTCTGAGTACATTCCATGTGCAAACATCCACATGATTTTAGGGTATAAACTGATGATTGGACACCCGTAGAAAGTACTCCATTTCTTCATTAAAGCAAATTCACACATTTTGCCAAGTTGCTAGGTACGTTTATGTTCTGTACTCTAAAGATAATGTGGGAGAAAAATCCCTGGTGTACATTATTCCTGACAGCTCTACAGTGCCCTGCCCTGAACATACAAGGCTGAGGAGACTCCTTCGCTGTTGTCTTCCTGCATTTGCTTGAAATGTTACCCAGAGACCAGGGGCCGAAAGCTTGCAGTGAGTTCTTGAGCAATCTGGCGCTGGCACCAGTTACCCATTGTTTATATTTACTTGATGTAAAGCCAGTGGGGGGTGGGCTGGGGATTTAGCTCAGCGCCACAAGCACCTGCCTGGCAAGCACAAGGTCAGGAGTTTGATCCAAAAAGCAAACCAAACCAAAACAAAAAACCCTATTGAGGACCAATACCTATTCTGGTTCTGCTGGCAGGTGGGAATGTTAGGGGTTCCCGGTGTGAGGAGAATTTGTAAAGTCTTATGTATCTTCTTCCACTGAGTTTACAAATACCCCCAGTGAGCCCTACATCCTGTCAGGCCGTCTTCCCCAGCCCGTCTCTCAGCAGAGGTTTAGAGCAGTCCTTGTTATGGTATATTGGTATCTTGGCTCCTCCCCTCTGTCTGTCTCTCGGCTGCCAGGGCTTGGGCACCTATGCCTCTGCCAGGCCCCTCTGCCATCCTGCTCCTCTCTTGGAGTCACTCAAGCAAGGACTAAATCTGTGAGCCAAAATAAACCTCTCCTGTAAGCTGTGGGTATTGGCTATTTTGTCTTAGCAACTGGAAAATGACTAAGAGAGCCATTAAAGGTTCACACACGTAAACCTTTACAACTTGCTATATGTTAGAAACAAGATATCTGAGTGTTTGGGAAACTTGTGTAATTCGAGAGTAAAAGTTAAGTGCAAGTGATCAGTTGAATCTGTTTGTCATTTGAAGGGACTTTTGGTTTTTATAATTCTCAACTATATTACTTCACGAGAGATTATTACAGTATCTGGAGTGAACCACAAAGCATAAGAGGAAGGGGGTAGGAGACAGATTTTCTATGAGTTTGCCACGCCTCCCTCCTGCCCCATGGAAGCAAAGGTCAGCCCAAACCCATTCCACCGTAAATGTATTCAACTTTCTTTGATCTTAGACACTAAACAGGATCAGACTTGTTTAGTGTTTGGATGGGGGAAGCAGGAGGTGAAAGCAATCATCCTGAAATGAGACAGTCATAGACCAAACATTTGATAAAGCTCAAGTTTATCTTTGACCCTTTTACCACTCCTCTTCTATCTACTCATTTCTATTTTGCTCATTCATTCAACAAATGCTTGTTGACTACACCACCTCGTATCAGGTGCTGTATGAGATGCTGAGGAATCTAAAAACAAATGGTGGTAAACAGCTCCTTACCTTTATGGGATTCACATTCTAGTCTGGAGATGACTAACACGTAGACAGTGTCTCACGTAGTGAGTAAGTTCAATGGAAAATAAAGCCGGGTAGGGCAGATAAGGGAGTGCACTGACGCGGGGAACGGGAATGTGGCTGTTTGCCCAGGGTGGGACAGGCCTCACTGATAGGACAGCATTTGAAATGAGCCCCACAGGAAGAGGAGGAGTAGCCCCAGGAGCCTGGGTGTTTCAGGTGTAAGAAATCTCGGGTGCAGAGGCTTTGAGGAGAAGCCGTTGGAACATGTGCAGAGCCACCAAGGTGGTGGCAGGTCCGATGTGAGCCAGAAAGGGAAGAGCAGGAGGAGCTAAGGTCCAGGATCAGATGGTGCCCGGCCACGCACTGCGGGGCAGGTGACTTTTCTCCCTCAGCTTAGCAAGTTCAGTCTGGCTGCTCCACCAAGCAGGGGTAACACAGAGCAGGAGGCACAGTTATGATGATGCAGGTTTGGAGCAGAGTGGTAACATGCGGTTGGGGATCACTGCTTGGGATCCAGATGTATTTTTGAGGTGGATACAACAGGGTTTTCTGCTGGATGTGGATGAGCAGTGCCAAAAAGGCCTGACAACTTGGAAACCGGAAACAAAGCTATAATCATGGCATGTTAAATTTGCAGGGCTCATTAAGAAGTCAACAGGAGATGATGAGCTGACAGTTGAACATACAGAGTTCAAGGCAGAATCTCACCAGAAATAAATTTGGAATTAACAGTGTATAAATGGAATCTGAGGCCATCAGGCCAGATCATTAAGAGGGGAGTGATAAAAACAAGGTCATGGGGCTGGGGACGTAGCTCAATGGGAGAGCGCTTGTCTCCCATGTTCAACGTCCTGGTTCAAACCATAAGAGCAAACCTATGAACAAACATAACAAAACCAGAAAGTAATGTTTAGATCAATGTGTAGGAACTGTCTTTGCTTTCACATAGCATATGAGTAAAACCAGGCATGTGGTGCACACCTGTAATCCCAGTACTTGGGAGGCTGAGGCAGGAGGATCTCTGTGAGTTTAAGGCTAGTCTGCACTACACAGTGAGACATTGTCTGAAAAAAAAAAAAGAATATAAATTAAAGCAGCAGCTGAATTTTTTCATACAAACAAAATTGAAATTTGATTGAGGGCTTGGCAAGGAAAAGATACAGGTCATTTCACAACCGTTTTCAAAAACAAATTGATTTCCTCTTTTTTGACATTTAGCCTTTACTTTTTTAGATAGGATCTTGCTAAGTAGTTCAGGCTGGCCTCCATTTTTATTTTTTGAGACAGACTCACTTTTTCTTTTCTTTTTTTTTTTTTTGTCTTTTTCCTTTTTATCGGTACCAGGGATTGAACTCACGACTGCCTGCTTGCAAGGCAGGTGCTTACACCGCTGAGCTAAACCCCCAGCCCCTAGACTCACTTTTTCTAGCTTGCAGTTGAATTCATAATCTTCCTGCCTTGGCCTCCCAGAATTGTAGGTGAGCACCACTAAACCTGGCATCAAGCTTAACTACACTCCTGGACTCGCCTGCCTGGCAAGTGCAAGTCCTGAGTTCAATTCCTGGTACAAAGAAAAGAAAAGAACTCCTGGACTCAAGTGATCCTCCCCCTCGGTCTCCCAACCGCTGTGCCTAAAGGCGTGAGCTACTATATCCAGCCTATAGTGAGCTTCCTGTACTGGTATTTATTTTTTAAACCACTTTGGTCTGTAATGTAACTCCTGTGCTACTGTATCGTCTATTGCAAAACACTGAAACCTCAGCCTTGGAACTGAACCTGTATCAGGACTCTCCACGCAGTCAGAGAATCGGGACACAGCCTCCTTCTTCATTCTCATGCAATGCTGGCAGCAGGCTTGGGTAAGCATGGCCCCAGTGCACAGGCTCCTGTCAGGACAGCAGGGACAGACGGAGTGTGCCGCTAAGGTCGTGGTCCGTCTGTATTTTAGGATTTACTCTAGATATACTCTAGGGATGAATCATGATGATCTCTTCCCGGGAGCATAACACCTTGCATCTACTTGCAACAGCACCTACTTAGCTTCTTGGTCTTTGGTTGAATTTTTCTACAGTACCAACAATAGCCAGATCATTCCTTCGGTCTTACTTACTTTTCTCCTTCCTAAGACACAATACCTGACACCCAAAGTTACAGACGAAAGGCTTTATTTAGCTCACAGTTTGCAGATGTTTTGGTCTGTGATCAGCTGGCTCCAAGGCAGGGTGGTGCACGGCAGACAGACAACAGTTCATGGCTATGGAAGACAGAAAAAGTAATGAGAAAGAGAAAAACCAGCCTCTTTCGGTCCCTTAGAGCGTATGCAGGATACCTACCCTAGGGTGCATATAGCCGTCACATGCTTAATCCCAGCATTAAACTGTGAATCCAACACAAATTCTGGATTCCGCTACCTCTGCAAAGACTCTATGGCTGCCTGAGGCGTTGGAGGGGGCATTAGACACAAGCTATCTCACCGTCTTCTGAGGTCACAGCCAGTGACACTCTGCGTTTGTATTCTGTGTTTGTATGCATCACTCATTTATACATTCACATGGAAAAGTGCCTCATTTTATTGAAAGACTGCCAAAATATAGTTCGAAAATTTTGTTTTAGATTAGAATCAGTGATTAATATATCTCACTTTTAGTAAGGAAATACCTTAAGAATTACATTCTAGCTGGTTTGGCAGCATAATCCTATAATCCCAGTAATATGGGGGACTGAGATCCTGTTTTAAAATTAAAAGTAAAAAAAGCTCAGTTACCAGGACAAAAAAATTAATTATGCTCTGAAGCTATGCTTGTCTGTATTGGACCACACAGATTCCGAGCATCTTTATGAGCACAGACACTACTGAGCGGCAGTCTTCCAAGAGATCAGTATGGTAACTCATGAATTAGTTTTACAATAGACCGGTGTGGGAAATAATACAATCCTGCAGTGTAAAAAGCTTTGGTAACTTTCAGTGAAAAACGTAGTAGCCTTGTCCTGTATGTTGCTACATAGGAAGATGAATATCACAAGAAGTTTTCTTTAAAAATCTAGTTATGAAATATTGTTTTCTTTGATTACAAAGCCTATTTTAAGAAATTATTTTCTAGATCTTCACATAAATCATATAGTATGTAGTCTTTTTGCAGCTTTCATTCAACATAATGTTTCTACAATTCATGTGTGTTGTAGCACTTTGTAACAGTTTGTTTCTCCTCGTTGCTAAGTAGTATTGTGGGGTGAACAGACGGCAATTTGTTTAACAGCTCATCTGTTGACGGGTTTTTGGGTTGTTTCCAGTTTTTTGCTATTATGAAGAAAACTCCTATGGCCATTTGTATATTAGCTTTATTTTTAACCTATGCCTTGTTGTGAGCATGTTTTTATTTTTATTGAGTAAATATCTAGGAGTAAGATTGCTTGGTCATACAGTGAGAATGTCCTGATAGGGAGCTTCCAAATTGTTTTCCCAGTATTTGTATACAGGTATTTGTATTTGGAAAGGCTTTTTTTCCACTTTTTTTTGTTTTTTGTCTTTTTGAGACAGGGTCTCACTATGTAGTTCAGGCTGGCCTTCAGCTCACTTTGTACCCCAGGCTGGTCTCGAACTTGCAACAATACTCCTGCCTCAGCCTCCCGAGTGCTGGGATTACAGGTGTGAGCCACCACGCCTGGCTCTTTTTCCACTTTTATTGGTTATACAGATTAATGGGTTTTGGGCCTGGGGATTTAGCTCAGTGGCATAAGCACCTGCCTTGCAAGCAGGCAGTCGGGCGTTCGATCCCTGGTACCGATAAAAACGAAAAAGACAAAAAACAAACAAATAAAAAAAAACAGATTAATGGGTTTTGTATGTATATCACAGACTTTGAGGCTGGGTGTGATGGTGCAGGCCTGTAATCTCAGAATTTGGGAGGCTGAGGCAGGAGGATTCCTTGAAGTCAGCCTAGACTACATAGTGAGTTCAAGGCCAACCTGAACTGCATAATGAGAAATGTCTGAAAAACAAAAAACAAAAACCTGATCATGTCATACTCCCCACTGCTTGTCACTCCCTTGAGCTCCCCTCCCACCTAGAGTCACATTACGGGGTGTTCGGGGTGTATACATAACACATGAAGAACTTTGGGTGGACAGTAATGATCACAGTTGTAATGTTCTTCTCTAAGGAATCAACTTGTTATAATAGCAAAAAATTCATTTCTGTAAGGGAGAAACCATAGGCAAACTAGAAATATTTGTCATTTTAAAATGTTTCCAGCTATCATCTCTTCTTGGCTTCATGAAAATCTTTTTTACTTCTGATTGTGAAGTTGGGAAAGGAATTCCTTCCAGTTTTGGAGCAGCAGGGAAAAGAGGAGACACAGTCCTCGGAGTTGTGAGCCAGGGGAGCAGGTAAAGGAGTTTTCTCTAGAACAGTGCTCTTCAGTAGAAGTGCACCATAAATTATCTAACAGTCATATTAAAAAAGTAGAAAAATATTGAAAGGAATCTAAAAATATTTTATTTCATAACAAATCAAGAATTTTGGCAAGTAATCAGTGTAAAACTTATTAATGAGTTATATTATTTTTCCAAAGATTTCAAAAATCTGTTGTGCATTTTACACTAATACTTCAAATTTGACACTAAATTATCAACATCACATGAAAAATGTAGCCATTTGGGCTGAGGGTGTAGCTTAGTGTAGGGTACAAGTCTTGCAAGTGTGAGGCCCTGGATTCTATCCCCAGCATGCGAAGAAATTTTTAGTCCAAAACTAAAGTTGTTTAATTTAAAAACTTCTACAATTTTCTGGTTTTAAAATCTTAATTTAACTTAATCAAAATAAATCTAAAATTCAACGTTGCCATCACACCAGCCACATTTCAAGCACTCAGCAGCCAATCTGTCTTGTGGCTATGATCCTAGACTGCACAATTCCAGAGCAGCACCAGGAACTGACTGGTTGGAAACAATTTTTTTTCCACAGACAGGGGAGGTGATGGTGGTGGTGAGTGGTTTCTTTTATTTTTTTAGTATGACTGCAATATAGAACAATTATGTTCCCCAGTGCTAGCATCAGCGCCTCAGCTCTACCTCAAATCATCAGGCATTACCAACCAGACAAGGTGGTGCTCGACATAATCCCAGCACTCAGGAGGCTGGGACAGGAGGATTGCTGTAAGCTTGAGGCCAGCTTGTGTGACTTTAAGATTAGCCTAAACTACATAGTGAGACCCTGTCTCAGAAAAAAATGAACAAAACACCAGGCTTAGATTCTCATAAGGAGCACACAATCTAGACCCCTATGTGTGTGGTTCCTTTGAGACTCTGACACTCCACTGATCTGACTGAAGGCATAGCTCAAGGGTAATGCTGCACTGCAGAGCCACTGTGACACAGGTGGAGCCTCATTAGCTCACCTGCTGCTCATTTTCTTCTGTGTGTGGCCTAGGCAGTGGGGACCCTGCCCCTGATGATGGTCAATGGGACACAAAGGGGAAGATGGAGGTGGGAGATACTTCCTTTTCAATTCGGTTTACAGTAAAAATACCACAGTTATTTATGTACTTTTAAAAACTGTTTATTTTTGTTTTCAGTGTTTTGGAATGGGGGTCTCCTTGTATAGTTCAGGCTAGTCTTACACTATGTATTCCAGGTTAGTCTTGAACTCACAGCAATCCTGCTGCCTCAGCCTCCTGAGTGCTGGGATTATAGGCGTGCACCACCACACCTGGCTTATTTATGTCATATTTGAGTAAAATATATTTATATAGCCTTTTAAGACCACCCTTATGTTTAATTTACATACATGAGTTCTAAAAGGAATTACAAACTTGTTTTCAGCTTATGATAGAGCTTTCAAGAGTAAAATGTCATCTCCACCTTTTTCTAGGCATGTAGCCTTAAATAGATAATTTCTAATTTTCCCTTTCACCGTCTGCAAAGCAAAGCAAACAACAGTGCTCTTTGGAGTGTGGGGAGAGGAAGCGAGGTGGCACATGTGAAGCATGCTGCAAAATGACGGCAGTTTTTAGAAAGTGAGTAAGCAGTGATGGTAGCTTCTTGTATTCTCTTTTCTTTTTCTTTTTTCTTGTTTTTGTAGTGCTAAGGATGAAGTTCAGAGTCTTGCACCTGCCTGACAAGGGCCCTAACAGTGAGCTTCCAGCTCCACAGCCCTGCCCTCATAGTTCTCTTTTTATTTTTAAAAGTACATGGACTTTTAAAAAACCCTTTTCTAGTTTATGGAAAAAAGATAAAACAAAATTTCACAACAAAAGAATAGGAAAATAGCAGTAATCAATACATTGCCTATTGTTCTCTCTCTCTCTCTCTCTCTGGTATCAGGGATCAAACTCACAGCCTCATGCTGGCCAGGTAGGTACTTATGCCACTGAGCTAAATCTCTAGCCCCAAACACTGTTATCTTTAAAATAGTTATTCAAAGTATAAGATATGGGCATTAAAATTTCTCCAATTGATATTAGCACATACCTTCCTTTTCAATAAAGCAAGAGAACTAGCAGTATAACTGACTTGCACTTTTTTTCCTTTTCCCTTCTGTCCTTTCCTCTCTTCCCCATCCTAGTTCCTTTTTATTTTGGAACAATTTCTTCCCTTTTCACAGTTTTGACTGTACATTTTAGACCTCATTTACTCTTTCAGTTTCTCACCTTCATGAGACAATACGATGCTTACACATGTGAGTCTGATTTATTTCACTTATAAGTATGATCTCAAATTGCATCCATTTAGCACCAAAAGTCTCCAGTTTAATCCTTCTTTATGGCTGAGTACTACTCCATTGCCCAAAATACCACAATCTTTTTTACCCATTCTGCAGTTGATGGGCATTTAAGGTGTTTCCAAGATTTAGCTATTGCAAACTGTGCTGCTGTAAACATGAGTGCACTTATGTCACTGAGGTATGATTTTAATTCTGCTAGGAAAATACTCAGAAGGGAATAGCCAGGTCAAATGTGACCTCTAACTCTAGTTTTCTGAGCAATCTCCATACTGATTTCCACAGTGGTGGCACCAGTCTGCACTCTCACCAACTGTGGAAAAGGGATCCTTTTCCCTCACAGCTCCACCAGCATTTGTTATTGGTTAATTTCTCAATGTTAGTTATTCTTCTGGGATGAGATTCCATCTCAGTGATGTTTTAATTTGCACTTCTCAAATAACCAATGACGCTGAATATTTTTTCATATATTTTCCATTTGAATTTCTTTATCTAAGAAACGTGTACTCATTTCAGATGCCTACTTTTGGAATGGATCTTTGAATTTGGAGGGTCTGATTTTTTCAATTCTTTATGTGTTCTAGGTAGAAATCCTTTGTCTGAGGGACAATTGGTTGATTTTTTTCACCCTGTGGGTTGTCATTTCACTCTGTTGGTGATTTCTTTCGAGGTGCAAAAGCTTTTTAATAAGATGAGTGAAGTCCCAGTTGTTGACTCTTTGCAGTATTTCCTGTGCAGTTTGGGTTTTGCTCATGAAGTCTCTGCCTACTTCTATGTTTTCAAGATTTCTACCTACTTTCTCTTCCAGTAGATTTAATGTTTCTATTTAATATTTGGTCCATTTTGACTTGTGCATGATGATAGACGTGGCCTAGTTTTAGTCTTCAGCATGCAGAGAGCCAGTCTCTCTAATGAACATAGAAGCAAAAGTCCTCAGTAAGACACTACCAAACAGAATGCAGCAAATCGTCAAGAAGATTTTATACCATGACCAAGTGGGACTCATCCCAGGAATGCAGGGCTGGTTCAACACATGCAAACCCTTTTAAATATGATGCTTACTGCTGCAGTAAATGTTCTCTTAGCCACTATTGCCTGGTCAGAACTGAAGATGGAAGGAAGGCGGTGGGTCCCCTTCAGCAACCCAGCATGGCCCAGTGCCAGAGCAACACAGGCTACTGGTCAAGAAAAGTAAAAACAACAGAGGATAATAAATTTGTTTAACAACTCCAAAGAAAAATATCTTTATAAAGCCTTATAAAAAAACTATGAATTGAAAATCTTACAGCTTTTCACATCTCTCTAGCTTCCTTTAAAACAGATATCCACAATTAAAATAGTTAAGATTTAAAAAATTAGATTGACATGGATTTGAATTCTTAATGTATTAGTAGCAGCCTTTATTTCTGCCATGTGAAAAGTACTGCTTGGTTTTCTCCTTGCATTGATCATGTTTCCTGAGCTGGGCTTACTTTCAGCTTAGTGGTCTGCATTTATCTGACAAAACAAAACAAAACAAAATGAAGTCAGTTAATTTAATTTAAAGATCTAAAATATATTTAAATACAGAATTTTAAAATATTACTTTTAAGTATAAGACAAGAATACAAGTAAAAAGTGATTTAAAAAATTAAAATTACATTTTCAACACAATTTTTCTTTATAACATAAACATAAGACTACTTTGGACATATTTATTGATTCCTTTAGGTGCTGCTGAATGTAAAGGAGGTACTTTTTATCAATGAGCTACATCTCCAGTTTTTAATCTCAAGACTGAAGTGATATTAAAAATGCTAGGGCTGTGGCTCAGTGGTAGGGTGTTTACTTAGCATGCACAAGGCCCTGGCTTCTCTCCCATTACCAAAAACATAAAAGCATAAAAACTTAGCTCCTTAATATTTTTTGTTTTGTTTGTTACTGTTTGGTACCAGGATCAAACTCACGACCTCACACTTGCCAGGGCTGAGCTAAATCCCTAGGCCTTCATATTTTGTTTTTAGAAAACAGAAATGTGGACAGAAGAGTAGATATCTCTCTTTTATCAGCAGAATCATAAGGTGAGCAAGTGGTTCCTGCCATGGCCACCCTGGGTTCACCAATCTTCCCTTCAATTCTGCAAACTTGGTGCTCAAAAATCAAGTGCTTCACACATACATGCATGCTCAGGTGTGGACACAGACACCGACACACTCAGCATGAGCTATGATGGGGAGGCAGCAACGGTAACAGAGCAATGGCTTTAAAGTGGCACTGCGTTCCTATTCCTGTGGTCCTGGGTGTTGATATGTTGGTGCAGATGAGTTTTACGCCTTGTGTCTCACAGAACGTCTGGTGTTTCAAAGTAGTAATTTTAAGTACAGTAGGTCATGCAGCCCATACACAGCTGTGCAGACTATGGATTGTACATCAGCTGTAATGTGAATGGTGCACCCTACACCATGAAGTACACAAGCTACACAACTGTGTGTGACAGCCCTTTTGAGGATCTAAAAATATTTGTGTAATTTTGGTTTTGAAAGGCAGAGGTCTTGGCTGCATTAGTGAGTGTAGGAAAGCAGGTTGGGAAATACCATGGTGAGGGAGTAAAGAAGTTCACGTCTGAGGATGAGAGGGGTCACTACAGTAGCAGCAGTGTGTAAGTCCCTTCCATTCCCTCACCAGAGGTGCTCCCTCGTGCAGGTGGTACTTTTGACCCATCATGGATCCAATAGCAGAAACCACAACAGAGCCTTTAATAAACTGTGTCCCAATCTTCTGTAGTATATTGGATTCTGTAGTATTTAGGTTCATGCTAAGAGAGTCAACTGATTGAGCAAGCAAGACCAGTCTGGGAACCAGCGCCATGTGTGGCCGCAGCTGGACTGAACAGACCGACCTCAGCCACTTCAGGGTTAGCAAACAAGTAGTCATCCCCAACTCTGCAGTAAGTGACCAGCTTATCTGGAGAAACACAGCTATGTGTTTCTATGGTGACAGCTATGGAGATGAAGTGCAATTGGATGCCTGTGGTGCTTTGTCTTCCACTAACATTGCAGGTCTAGGGCCAGTAGTCTGATCACTGGTTCAGAGGACAGTGGTGTGCAGTGTGAGACCTAGGGGGGATCTCCTTCTGAGGGTTGCAGTCATTGTTGATTCCCTATGGTCATGTTTTGGAAGTCCTATATTATTTCCATTGTTTCGTTGGCTTGGGGATTGGGCTTTATTCTTGTTTTGTTCATGTCAAATCTGATTGCGGAATCAGCTATTTTAAGATAGCAAGATGTATTATGGTAGCCATTCTGGATTCACATAGGCTTCTTTTGAAGTCCTTTAATGCAATCATTGTTTTGTTTTTGTTTTTAATCTGTTCTGTTCTGTTTGATTTTTACTATATCCAAAGTTATCTGCAATTATTTTGCAGGCATTATGGTAACTACTGCTGATTTTGTAATGTTTTGAAGTCCTATATCTTTCACACTGGTTTGTTTTGACTGGTTTTATCCCATTATATCCTCTTTAAAGTAAACAAAAGAGTCAACTAATGAACAATTTCTAAAAGTGTCATAACTCTTATTAAACCTATAAAAGGGCATATATATTCTTTCTTTTCCTTTTTTTTTTGAGATAGGCTCTCACTCTGCACCTCAGGCTGGCTCAAACTCACAGCAGTCCTCCTGCCTCAGTTTCCTAAATGCTTGCATTACAGGTGTGTGCCACCTTGCCCGGTGTGAGGCTTTTAATTTTTAAAATCTACTTACCCTTACATTATCTTACATGTTTTTCCACCGATTTTGTCTCTTTTTGTTTGCTTTCCTTTCCTCACATTCTTTCCCCTGAGAAAGGAGACGAGGCAGAAGGTTCAGGAAATTAGAAGAGGATTTGATATGAATGTAGAGGAAAGCCAGAAGGGAAAAGGAAAAGACGAAGAGATATCATTAGAGACAAGGGAGAGAGGGAATGAGAAAGAAAATGTGGTACAAAAGCAGGAAAGAAAAAAGCACAGGACAAAGAATTTGGGTCTTGAATTCAAAGTATGTTCAAATCATGTCATCAAACATGTCTTTATCTTTTCTAGTAGAGCTCACTGTTAGAGTTTACAAAGTTATTTCCTTTCAGGGGCTTCTCCTTCTTTCTTTTTAGCCTCAGTTTCATAAACAGAGATTGAACCTGGCTGCTTAGGAGTCTAAGGAATTTGATTTATAATATTTAAGTGGGAAGTAGAAAAAGAGAGCTAGGGGAAAGAATCAAACTCTCAGTATTCATAAGTAATTTCCTCCATCCACTAAATCGTTATCCTCTGTTTCATTTCTTTCAATTTTGGAAAAATACCACAGTATCATAGGTAAGCCTATCACTTGTGTTCCCTATAAAGAAATGGAAAAATTAAGGAGAATAAAGCTTAGAAAGGTAAGAAATTAAAAGTCAAAAAAGAAAAGAGATGAACTGGATCCAGCCTGGGATCTGCCAGTGGTTCGTGGCCATACGAGCTGTGTTCGCAGCGCCATGCTTTCAGAGCCTTACTGGAGAGAAGAAGAAAACAGAACTGAAGCTGCTGAGAGGCGAGAAAGGAGAATTTAGAGCTCATGCTCCCAACCAGCGTGGCGCAGAGGCCGGGTGACTGCCAACGCCAGTCAGAAGAGCTGAATAATGCCACGAATTGGGTTTTATCAGTGGGGGAATAGTTCTTAGTTTGGCTTCTACCTAAAGTAGAAATTGGAATTATAGACTCATTTTTAGCCTATGCTTAGATTAAATTTAATGAGATGAGGGATTAAGACTTGGCTAAGCTTTGTTTTTCTTGGTGTGAAGAGCATTGTGGGTTAATAAGAGTGCACTGAAGGGGTAAAAGTGAGTCAGAGGAGGGTGAAATGGGGGAAAGAAATGCTAATCAAGGGGAGAACTGAAAAAGTATTCAAGCCTAAATAAGAAAAAAGAAAAAAAAAGAGACGACATGGGAGAGAAAAGTAGAATGCAGAAAAGGAAGCACATGAAAGAAAACAAACAGAGCAAATGGTTAATACTCCTTGGAAAATGCCGTTTTCTTTTTTTTTTGCCCTTTATATAGTATATTTTCTTTGTGATCTAACAAACTCAAAGGATTTTACTAGTAATTTTCTGTATCTTCCCTGGTTTCCAGAGCTCTATTTCAAGCTGCCTGCTAGCTTCATAAAGTTGGTACCCAGGACCACAAGAGTATCAGCTCCTAACAGCCAAAAAGGCCTTGTGACAGCTAGTCACACCCTTCCTGCCCCAACGCCCTGCCATGTGCACACACATTTTGCAGTCGAGGAAACTGAGGCTGGACAGACGAGATGAACTGTTCATGTGACACAGGAGGTGCAGTTAGGACAAACCCGGGGCTCTTCTAGCTCTAGTGTTCTACAGCTGAATTCTTCATTTTCCTTTCCAAACTTCCTCCAATTCCTTTCCCCAAGTTGTCTCCCAAACTATTCCCAGTTTTTTTTCTCTCGTCTCCATAAGCCCGCCATCAATAACTTGTCCACTCTGTGATCATGCCCTTCTTTCCATTTGTTTGCTTGTTTGTTTGTAGCCGGGTCTCACTATGAAGTTCAGCTCCTTCTCAGCTTCCCAACACCATATCCAAATTTCTAATTCAAATTTTTCATAACTGGGTTCTGCCTCGCTTTCCAGTTGCATCCACCAAGACTCCTGAACTGACCTGTCCATTTCTTTGATCTGAATTACACCATCTCCTTTATCTAAGATATTCTTAGTTCCTTTTTTTCTACCTCAAATTTGTCTCTTTAAAGCTTCTCTTGATTTCTCTTTCTAGGCTAATGCACTTTCCATTTTTCTCCTAAAGCTCATATAATCATTTATGTTAGTAAATAACAACAACTTATGCTATTAAATAATATGGTGATTTACGATATTTGTGTACAAGTCTTAAGGCCAGGTAAAGTGTCTTTTTCTTTCTTCTTCTCCTTTCCTTTCTCCCTCCTCCCTCCCAGAGCTTTCATATAAAACAGGCACGGAACACTGGTTCAACTGAACAAACCTGAGTTTGTGAAGCATTGGATCTACCACTAAACCATCAAGGTGATCTTAAAAATTGGGTGTGTGTCAGATGATGGGTCAAAGAATTAGTTACACATAGGCAGCGATAAGGGTATCAATGCCCTATGTTAATTTCAAAACCCATGCTGAATAAATGAATTCTCAAAATGTACATAAACTATACTAATTAGTAAGAAGGGTGCCATCAGATTTATCCTGGCCTTTAGCAAATAGGAGGTAAATATTTGCTGTACCGGACATCTCTAAATATTTAGTTTTATTTCTTTGCGAAATACAATTCAGGGTGGAAGTTAATAGATAAAAATTCTATAACCTGGAAAGGTAATTTTGCACTTTTCTCATAAACTACAATAGCATTTCCCACAGTGTTCTTGGTTTTGATGCTGTAGATTGCAATATAGGCATCACAGTATAGCAAAGTTCATCTGGTATTTTTGGATACCAATGATGAATAGGGCGACCTAAAGACGTCTATATTTTATAAAAACCTCTTATTAATCCTCCTTTGTAGGACTGATTCCTATAAAGTGCCTTGATTTTTGAAGTAGTAGTTTGTTTGTTTTTGTTTATTGAGACTGCATCTCATCTTGTAGGGGAGGCTGATGTTGAACTATATAGCCTGGGATGGCCTTAAATTCATGGTGATTCTCCTGCCTCAGCCTCCTGAGAGGTGGGGTTAGAGGTGTGTACCACTATGCCCAGTTTGAAGTGGTAGTATTTTTTGCTCTTCATTTGAACTGAGTTATAAATTCCTCTGTATTTCTTATATAATATTAAAAGAATCTACATAAATAAGTGTATGACTGAAGCTGAGGCCCAGTCCATCGCCCAGGTTAGAAAGTAACTGCAAAGGGAAAGATCCCTACACAAGCCTCTGTGTAAATGTTTGCTGTGACAAGTTAAAGATTCTTTGACCTGGGAGTATATCCAGAAAGACCTGTTTTCACCTCCACCCCAATATGAAATACCATCACCTGAGAGTGAGAGGCTAAAGATCTAAGGAGGGCCATGGGTTTAGCTCAGTGGAATAAGTGTCTGCCTGGCAAGCATGAAGTCGTGAGTTTGACCCCCCAGTGAAGACAGAAAGAAAAAGAGGAGCAAATGATCTTAATTTTCCAAACATTTGCACAATCCCCTTACCCATCAGCAAGCATAGGAGGTCTTATTACTATTGTAGTTTAGAGTTTGTCTGTAAAACCTGTAAAAGCCTTGGTTTGGGAATGAGGAGTTAGATTTAGGGAACTAGACAACTGAATGGTTTAAATAATGCCTGTCACTCAGAAGACAGTGTGAGGAGAGGATATGAAGAAGTGTTTCTCCACTGTCAGGCTCTCAGAAAGGAGAAAAGGCAAGGAAAAGAGTGCAAAAAAAAAAGTCTAGCTGTATTCCTTTGCTCTTATCTATCCAGAGGTGACTCCTGGACACCAGTGCTCATAATAAAACATGTAGTGGAATTTGTTCCATACCTGAAGTGTCTGAATCAGCCCTCAGGCTCCTGTAAAAACAAACCGAGCATTTCAAAAATTTGCCAGTGTAACACAAATATTTATAAAAGAATTAATAGGTATGAGATAACTAGTTATTTCCTAAATGGTTTGTAGATAATAATGAATCATGTTTAGCAAGACTAGGCTATTATTGATTATGATATTAAATATGTTTATTTACAGGTTGCCAACCTATAAAAGCCGTAAAAGTGAATGGTGTGCAGTAACATTAATCTGTTTTTTTTGCAGCGTATTCACCTAGTGAGTCCGGGAGGCTGCTGGCATCCCTCACCTTTCTGCCCCTCTGCCCTTGCTGGGTGGAGACCGAGAGAAGCTAACTGCTGTTCAGAGGTTGAAGTAAATAGGGCTCACTTTGTTGGAAATATAGTCCCCCACAGCACTGCGGATAAATCCTGGACTGGGTGGGTTAGAAGCTGCCAACCTCTACTAGTTTCTTCACCACCATCTCTACGACCTTGAGCAGGGGAAGGGGCTCTCAGGAATCTCCTAGGCAAAGAGCGTATCTTACTGGATCTTTTTACTGTACACCAGGAGGCTCACAGTCAGGTTTTTGGATAATTTAACTTCGGAAATGTATCTGAGCTAGACATGGCGATGCATGCCTGTCACTCTTAGGAGACTGTGGAGAATTTCAAGTTTAAGTCCAGCCTGGCAATTTAGCAACTTAGAGAGACTCTGTCTCAAATACATACATACATAAAATAAAAAGGCTGGGGATACAGCTTAATGAAAAGGCTTTGGATCCAATTTCTACTATGTACTTCAAAAAATAAAATATTTGGATTTTAAAAAGCTTCATTTTAGTACTCCTGATTTTTAAAATTAATCATGATTAAAACCAATATTTTCTTAACCATGCTAAATACAAATGTATTTATATTTTGACATACTAAAATATAAATGTGAGTCTTAATTTTCACCAGATCCTTCTGTCTTCAAATACTTTTCATATATTGCTGTTTAAGGAAAAAAATTTAGGAAGAGTAATCACCTTTGGAAAGCATCTTCCCAGACAATTGTGCAAAGACGTAATAATGATTCATTGTAAAGGGCTAGAAAATATATTCGATTTAAATTATACAATGAATATTTCAGAAAGTAACTTTAAAATAGTTTTCTGAAGACTTTGCAAATAGGTATTCATAGAGTCTGTGCCAAATAGGTCTGGTGATTTAAGTGAAGGCTGAGAGTAATGATAAATTTTAAGAGGCTGAGAAATATAAAGTAGATGTACCTTAAAAAAAATAGGAGTAAATTAAAATAAAGCCTGCTATTATCCTTTTTAAAACGAAGAGTCATGATAGCAGTATTGTCAAGGTGTAAGAAGGAATATAAATGTGTCCTAAAGTAAGTCCTTCATGTTTAAAGGATCTAGAGAGACAGGACCAAAAAGTCGAAGTCTCATCCTCTTTACTAGATCTACATTTAAACTGATTTATATTTTCAATAGTAGTGGATCTGAGGACAGAATATTTAAGAAGATCATTGTTTAATTTTTTTCCATTGTGCCATGGTCTTGGAGATGAAACATAATGTACAGAAATTATTTATCAACTTCATAGTCCTGAATAAATCCTACAAATGTTCCTGTAATAAAGCCCTAGTGAATTCCCTTCTGTTCTTAGAGTACTGCATCTTTCATTCGTAATTAACATTCTCAAATTAGACTCTAGCTAGTAATTATGTTCCTAATGCAAACAGGCAGTAAAAGGAACTCATGTTTGATTAAACTGAGCTTAGGAGGATTATTTAGAATAAAAATTTGTTTTTTTCTTCATCTATTTCTCTGCAGCAGAGTTAGGAGACTAATGACAAAAGAAGCTAATGGACAGAGCTTTGAAGAACTTGAGATTTGCTAAATTATAAAATCCTTCATGTATTTAAAATGTTATGATTTTTGCTATCTATGTATTAGGTTCATTTTCTCCTTTATAATAGTGATTATAATGGAAAGAGTAATAAAACAGCATCTGCAGGCATTTTTTGTCCTAACAATTTGAGTTATTTTTGTAGTTCTTAATATTTAAAAAAAATTAAAAACCGATCTAATACTGATGGGTTTTCTACAAAGTGAAACCATTCTGTATGAAGATGTAATTGTGGATACATGTTATTACGTATTTGTCAAAATCTATAGATCTGTATAGCCAAGAATGAGCCTTAATGCATACTATGGGCTAAACGAATAACAACATATCAGTACTGTTTCATTGATTGTCATATATAAAATGTTAATAAAGAAAACTGAGGAGATGGCAAGTGAATGAGGAAGAAGTAGAGTATATGAAAATTAAGTTGCTCAATTATTCTGCTGATCTAAAACTGTACAAAAAGTAACGTTTGTCAATGAGTTTTCAAAGTTCTGTTTTGTAATGTAATGATTCAAGGCATTCACTACACGGAAAAGAGCAAGGAAAGAAGCTGAGATGACTTAAGCCATTGACGGTTTATGATTCTGGTTTATGATCAGTGCTTCTGAAGTGTAGGGGTGAAGACCTTGCTTGTATTTCAGCAGAGTGTGAAGTAAAGGAGAAGAAAAATGTCAGAGTGACCAGACTTGATCAGAAACTAGTGAGGACAAATTATGAAATTAGATGGATTATTTTGTCATGTTTGTTTTAAAGAAATTTTAGGCTTTTCTACTAAACTGTATTTAGGGGTAATAGCGACCTGTGTGGTCACTACTGAGGGGCATCTGCTTTTATTCTTCACATTCTTTTCCCCCCAGATACTTACCATTGAACCCATGGCTTTTGCAATGCACTGCATCCCCAGTCTTTCTTTCTTTTCTTTCTTTCTTTCTTTTTTTTTTTTTTAAGACAGTGCTAAATTGCCTAGGCTGGGCTTGGAATTGAAATCATCCTGCTTTACCCTCCAAGTATTGGGATTACAAGTGTGTGCCACCATGTTCAGTCCTCTGCATTTTATATTATTGTCTCCTTTCTCTACTTCTGATTAGTAGTTTCTTTTTTCTATCCTTTCTTTAGTCTCTCCTCCTCTTAAAAAAAATCTTTGTCCTTTCGTCTATCTATCTATCTATCTATCTATCTATCATCTATCTCGGCACTTATTCATATAGGAAAGACTCCGGCCCCCCCTCCCCCCGCCAAGTTTGAGCCAATATTCTTTCTTACAGTTATAAGAAGAATCCTTATTTGAAGAAGCATCTTTGTTAAACTCCATTTTGTGTCTAGGACTGGCTTCTCAACAAAGTAATGATTCTTAAATTTGGGCATGTGTTAGAATTATTCCGGAGCCCAGCAAATTACAGAGCGCTGTGTCCCCTCCCCAGAGTTTACGATTCAGTGAGATGGCGCAGGGTTCCCAGATTTCCATCTCTAACAAGTTTCCGGGTGGTGTTCTTTTGAGAGACACCATACGGGAACCCTTGAGATCAGACAATGCTTCAGTGGAGAGCAAAGAAGATCCAGTCTTGGCACTGGGACCTGGAGGCTCTGGAATGTGAGAAATGCAGTGCCTAGGGGCTAAAGTAAACATCTCAGGTCTGTGGCTCTCCTCAGAGATCACTTACGTTCCTTTGTTTCCCTTGACTCCCACTTCACTAGGAAAGAAGAAAGCCAGCTTTGAGTAACAACACACACAATTAATTGAGCTGTTTTATGTAAGTTATTTTTTGAGAGACTTGTTTCTCTAATCCACAATTGGAAATGAATCAGTGGCAATAATGATCACTTACTGAGCAACTAATATGTCCCAATTCCTTTATATGCTTTTGTTTCTGTATCTCAGAATTCTACAACATACCTATTTCCATCCTACTACACTTCTTTAAGGACTTCCCAGAACACAGTTCTATTTTACTTTAGCATGTATCCTTTCATTTGTTTAAGCAATGGATGTTCTAAATAATCAAAATTATATAACAATTAGAAATATAAAAAGGTTTAGCCCCATCACAGAATATCTGTCGTCTCCAGAATCCATAGGACAAAATACACAGGATGGGGGAATGGGGGGTGGTTTTTGTTTGTTTTTTTGCAGTACTAGGAATGTACCCAGGACCTGGTGTGTGCAAGCATTCTACCCTGAGCTATATTCCTAACCCTTAAGGTTATTTTTTGTGAAGTTTTCAGGGGCAGCTCCCACAGCCTACAGAAACTAGTTCTATTATTTATCATTATAACCAATAATGTGTACTTACTATTTTTAATTCATTGGTTGATTGCTATCCTATTTTACTTCATAATAAAATTTCCCTTTGCATTTAGTTAAAAGAATTTTTACTTTAAATTTAGCCTTCTGTGGACTTAATCATACATCCAAATATCCTCATCTTTAATTGACAATCTCCTTTTTTTATTGCAATAAAAATTATGAGTAAGCTTTGTGTTGCCCCCACACAGTTCTTCCTTAGGTTCAGTTTATTGGGTCGCATCGCCAGTGGAAAGACTAGAGGTCCTGAAAGGTATAGAAGCATCTTAGCACTTTATTTAATAGGAGTTAGATCTATATTAGATTTTTAAAAGTTTATTCTAGATTTTGATTCTTCCCTTCCTTCCTCTTTTACTTTCTGCCTTTTCTTTTCCTTCCTGCTTTCTTTCTTCCTCCCTATCTATCTGAAGCCTGACAATCACCATCCTACTGGCCTTTGTGACCTTTTAAAACATCAGCTATTTAATCCCTTCATTAGGTCAACATGGTTGGTATTATTCCCATTTTACAGATGAGAAATCTAAGTCCTGAAGAAGTTAAGGAACTTGACAAGATTACAAAGGTAATAAATAAATAAGAGGAGCCAGCTGAACTCAAGTATTTAACTGCAAAGCTCATTCTCTAGATGTTATGTGAAATTGCCTTCCAATTAGTGAATCCTACATCAATTTGCTTTTAAAATTCCACATGCAATCAGTTGTGTAATAAGTGTTTCATAGAAACATCTGACTGAGAATTTTTGGGCACACAATCTGAAGCAGCACAGAGAAAATGAGAGAGAGAGATAAGGAGACACAGGAGGAGACCTTTAATGTGGGCATGGGAGAGCTTCATGGGCACCGGGTACAGAGGCTCTCAAAGGAGAACACAGAAGTGGGACTACTTTTATCAGTTTTGGCTGGGGGAGGCGTTTGGGAGGTGAGCAAAGTGACATATTAACCACTGATTTGAAGGAGTATCTGCCTGTGTAAAACAGGAAACAGAAAGATTTGCTGGGGGTAGGGGGCCGAGGCTTGGGTGTTTGTGGATTCTTGGGATTGGAGAGGGCTCAGAGCACGTGCAAAAAGGGAGCTGGAGGTTTATCTCTGGAATGAGAAGGAGAACACAGAAGTTACTCTTGGAGACACAAGTTGTTTCTCGGGGACCAGTATCAAACTGGGAGGATGTAGCTAAACCCCAGGTTAGCAGAACCTATCAACATCTACCAGTAGCTATCTTTGATCAACTATGCTCAAACTGTGGTGCTCCCCATCCTGGTGTAGAAATAATATTGTACATACACTTTTTGAAGTTTATTTTTGTAACTTATTAATCCTTATTAGTCTATACTTCTTTCATTGAAATTCTGCCTATTGCTTTTTCTGAACATCAAGCTTTTTACCTAGTTAATATACTATTTGCTAGCCATTCCTCCATTAGTTGTAATTTAAATTACTTAGGATTTTAACTAGGATGCACTGTGTTTTCACAAGCTACTTTTTTTTTTTTTTTTTTTTTTGTCTTTTTCCTTTTTACTGGTACTGGGGATTGAACCCACGACTGCCTGCTTGCAAGGCAGGCACTTATGCCGCTGAGCTAAATCCCCAGCCAAACACAAGCTACTTTTCACAAGCTCTCCTGTGATACGTATTCTCCTGTCAAGGGGTGTAACTGTGATTGGAATTGCCAAGTCACTCAGAAAGCTCCTCACAATTTATAGCAACATCATAAACATGCAGACATCCAACGAAAAGCAGACTGGTAACTGCTTATCTTGTATTTCTTTATTATTAGTGAAGTGGATCCTGCTTCAAGAATGTGTCTTCTGGAATAAATTTTCTATTCCTGTTTTTAAATCATTTGTTAATTGGATCTTTCAAAAATTCCCACCAGCTATTTATGTATAATTGATTATTCCTCTATTGCCAGTCTGTTTTATGTACATTACACATGGATGTATGTAAATTATTTATTTGGCAGATATTTGTAATTTTTATTCAGCTCAGAATTATGCCCCTGCAGCTGCACACCTCCACAGTTCTCTGACCAAATGTCCTTCCTCTCGAGAGCTCTTGACCACCGTGTAAAATATCTCCTGCCTTCCTTAAATCACCTGCTACCCTTTCCCGTTATTACAGCACATCCTGGCTGGCAAAATTTTATTTATGATCTACTTCCTCCACTACAATAAAACACTTCAAGAGACAGGGACTTGATATTTTTACTGCCATATTCTCAGCACCCAGCGCATAGGAGGAGCTCGGTAAATATTGAGTGAATGAATCAGACTTTGTCATTGAAAATGACTTTTGTTGCTTCAGTGGACAAGAAATGAACTTTTCTCTGTATCCTGTAACTGAGGCAATGATACCATTGCATTTTCTTTCAACTTATTTTAGTTTAAGATAATTTATCTTTTTCTTTTTTGTGATATAACTTAAAGCATTGAGCTGCATTTTTTGTGGGTTTTTTTGGAGACAGAGTCTTGCTATGTAGGCTGGACTTGAACTCAAGCTCATGGTGATTCTCCGGCCTCAGCCTCCCAAGTGCTGGGATTATAGGTGTGCACCATCGTGCTTAACTCCAAGAGTGACATTTTCAAATGTTTATTTTTTCTTTACATTTCTTTGTTCTATGATAATTGTTAGAATCTCTTATAGTACATAGACATACTAATGGAAATATGTATTCCACTTTAAGTATGACACTTCTAGAATTTGTCTTCCTTTTCTTTCTAGTCTCCTTTCTTTCCCTTTTTTCCTTCCTCTTTTCCTTTCCCTTTGTGCTGGAGAAATCTAACCCAGGGCTCATGCAAGTGATCTGCCATTGAGCTATACTTCCAGCCCTAAAATTTCCTCATTAATAGTAACATTGGCTCTGATTTAAAGTAAATATTCTTTATTGTGACAAAGGGAAACTTACTATTATGTGGATCTTTCCTGTCATCAAGCATTCAAATTTGTGGCCATGCCTGTAAACTCAGCATTCTGGGAGGCTGAGGCAGGAAGATCACAAATTCCTGTCAAGCTTCAGCAACTTAGTGACTTAAGACTCTTGTCTTAAAATTAGAAATTTAAAAAGGGGTGGAGACATAGCTCAGTGTGAAGGCCCGAAGTTCAGTGTGTCCAGTACCAAGTGGGAAGAAAGAAAGAAAGAAAAAATGTCAAATGTGTCTAAAGTATCCTGAGTTTTCTGCTCTTTCATATTTATACGATTAAGCTTTCTTCATTTTATCCTAAGCTCTCTATATTTTGTCTGCTGAGATTCTAATAATTTAACTTTTATTATCACAAACAGGATTAACCTAGAATTTTCTTTCTTATAATAGCATCTTTGGCTTTAGAAGCCAGATCAATTACTTGCTTCAGGAAATTTGGGAAAACAAAACATTTTTCTGATATTTTTATTAAAAGAAAACATTACACAAAATAGAGCCAATTGTAGAATATCTAAAAACTATTCAATGAATGTCAGCACTGTCTTTTCCTTTAGTAGGCATTGTTCGGTAATTGCTTTCTATTTCTTCAGGTTCTCAATGTTTTATTGTGTCAGTTTTTGCCAATTTGCCTGTTTGTTAGCTGTTTACTAAATTTAGAGTTTCCAAGCTTTTAAAGCAGAATTGTATATTAATTTTCAGTAACATTTTATTGTTATTTCTATAGGTTGATGTGACACTTAAGTCTTCAATTTTACTTTTGTTTTTAAATAGCTATCTCAGTGGTTTTCCAGTTTTGTTGTTTTTTTTAGCACATTAAATTCTTTAAAAGTTTTCCAGTTAATTTCTTTTTCTTAGGTTAAATTTTCATTTTTCTTGTTTTCCCTGCCCTACTGCTTTTTATATTTCTTTAAAAAGTAGATGTACTTAATTGCACTCCTATTTTCATTCTTATATAAATTCTTTTTTTTTCTTCTTAAGATAAGGTCTTTTTACATTTCCGAGACTGGTCTTCAGCTGGGTTCAAGCAATTTGCCTGTTTCAGCCTCCTGAGAAGCTGGGATTACAAGGTGCACCACTGCACCCACCCTATGATCTAAACGTTTAGATCTTTTTTCTTTTTAGTTGGTAATCCAGAATGATCAGATTATCTTTATAATACTACAGTGCTCACTCATTCAGCATGCAGTTAAGTTTTCAATACGACTACTGCAATTACGAAAATACAAATTTTCGTTTTTTACAAATTATCATAAATTTAAGTATGAGAAGTATAGAGATATGGAGAGGGTAGAGAGAGAAGAAAAAATATAGAGGTAAAAATAATGTACACACAATCATTCTAGATCTCAGTATTAAAACTCCCGAACGTGAACACTGTGATTTCGGTATATTTTCAAAAGCACTCAATCGGCACCAGGCCAGCAGCCAAAAATACCAACTGTGTTAGGAACCGGAGTGTGAATTAAATTCAGCCAGGTGTGAACCGAATGCAGACAGTTACACCTTGCCATGTGAGTGTGCCTTCACACTGAGTGTGAGTCCCAGGCCCGCACACGCACGTGCGCCCGTGGCTTTACCTTTAGAGTCCTCACGGATTTTCCTTCCTCACATACCTGGCTTCTAGGCTTTTGAGAGCTGTGTTTTTAAACCCGGTCTTCTTCTCCTCCGAGGTCGCCTCCGTCAGCTCTCCGCAGAGATCCGCCTCACTCTTCAGGGGAGTCAGGGGAGTCTGAAAGCATCTCTCCCCTTCGAAGGTCAGGGTGATGTCGGAGATGGTGACGTGTTTTGAGGACTGTTTGAACTCGTGCTTGCTCCTTGCGTCTCGCAGACAGCTGGTCTTCACAACACTGTCTCTTTTTTCCTTTAAAATAGCAAGCAGGACAAATTGGTAGCGGAAAAGCACCGCCCCGAACTAGATTCCCCGGGGAGCAGAGCGCCACCGCACCGCCAGGCGCTGCCCCCGCCCACAGCTGCGCGGCCCGCACCCGGCGGGGCTCTGGCCACCCTGCCTGCCTGTGCACGGGCTTCCTGCACAGCCTCAGCCGGAGGTTGCTTTTAAGGGCAGTGACAGCAGTGTTTCTTCAAAAGACTTAGAAGCTGCACCTAAACACACTGAAGACGATCTCCTTTTCCTAGTTTCCCGGCGTCCGCTGAGGCGCCCGCTCCCTCAGTCAGTCAGTGACAGGCAGAAGCCCGGAGGCGCCCACCCCGCCGCCATCTTCCTCCCGTGGCCCCTGCGGGACTTGTTACCCCTCTTTTGCTGGAATACAATGCAACAGTCCTATTTCTTCAAAGTAAGTTAATTTTTTCTTACAGTGAATGGAATATATACTGATACTAAAACATTTGAAAAGTCTCCTAAGGAATTACGTGAAAGGTAGAAAATTATTCCTGGAAAAGAAAGAGACAGTTGTGCCTTGGATGATTTTTTTGGTGTAGGGAGCTTTTTGAGCCGAGGTCTCACTCTGCGGTTCAGGCTGGCCCTGGGCTCGCTTTGCAGGCCAGGCTGGTCTTGAGCTAGCCACGATCCACCTGCCTCAGTGCTGGGATTACGGGAGGCGCCACCACGCCCGGCTTCCTTAGATGATATTATCACCCAACTATGTCTCTGGCCGATTATTTCCTATTTATTTTGCTCATTTATTTGCTTTGTGTATAACTGTTGTGAGGTCATTTTGAAGTTGACCTACATTTTTCACCTAACATTATAAACATATTCCTTCTGTCACTATTATTTGTGTAAAACAGCTTACATTTTTCCAAATTAAAAATTACTTTTCTGTTGGAGAGAATTAAGATAAGTGTAAATAAGGTATAAAATGTCCATAACCCCATAATCTAGAGATAAACCGCTATTCACAAAATGAATTTTTTCCTTAATATGTTTTTATATCCTGGAGGTTGTAGTCTTCATTTTTAATCTTCTCTGACGAACATTTTTCTAGGCCAAGAAACATTCTTCAACAGCATAGTAATTGATTTAATAAATTTTTATTGAGTGCCTAAGATCTTGCTAGATACTATGGTAGTTCCAGAAACAAGATAACGCACTTGCCCTTCATATTTTTAATTTTATTTAGCCATTTCTGGTGGATGATTATATCGTGTCCATGCTCTCATAAATTCACTTTTAGAGCACAGTTTGGATACGGTATGATTCACACCTATGTGTCCCTGTGTGTTTGGCGCTGGGCTGGAACCAGGCCTTGGGCATGCCAAGCACTCACCCTCCCGCTAGGCTGTGCCTCAACCCACAGTCAACATCTCTGTAACTAAAGCTTCATTTCTGTCAAAAGGTATAGAGTTTTTAAAGGATTTTAACTCATAATCATTTCAAGAAAGCTGAGCCAATTCTCCTCCATACCACGAATCTGTATAAATTTCCAGTTAACCACACCTTTGGTAACAATGAACTTTTTTATTTTTTTAATTGGCAGTTACATTGGTTAATTTTTTCTGAAGGTTGGGGGAGCAGAGGACAGAAATGGGGGACATTGGTAAACGGGTACAAAGCTATAGCTGGGTGGATGGAGGACACCCTGATGTTCTATTCCACAGTGTGATGGCTATAAATTAAAAAAATAAAAGTGGACTTAAAGCTTTTTCTTTTTTTGCTTTCTGAAATGTTTTACTGTATTAGTCATTATGGAATTTCTAATTTCAGTTCCTTGAGAAATCTCCGTGCTGATTCCATAATGTTTGTACCAGTTTGCACTCCCATCAACAATGTTCCTTTTTCAGAACATCCTCGCCAGTACTTGTTACTGTTCAATTTCTTAGTGATTGCCATTCTTTCTGGAGTAAGATAGAATTTAATTTGCATTTCCCTGATGGCCTGGGATATTGAGCATTTTATCATATATTTGTTTTTTTTTGTTGTTGTTGTTGGTACTGAGAATCGAACTCAGGACCTTACACTTGCCAGACAGACACTGTGCCGCTGAGCTGTATGCACGGCCCCATGTATTTGTTGATCATTGGTAAATCTTCCTTGGTGAAGTGTCTGTTCATTTCTCTTGCCCATTTCTTGACTGTCTTTAATTGTAGGTGGTTTAATTTTTTTGAGTTCTTTGTATATTGTAGCTATTAGTCCTCTGAGAAGTAGCTGGTAAAATTTTTTTCCATTCTGTAGATTGTCTCTCACTCTGCTGTTTTGCAATACAGAAGCTGTTTAGTCTTCTGTAATTCCCTTTGTTGATTCTTGCTGTTACTTACGCAAGTGAGGTTCCCAATGGGAAATATTTTCCTACATATATGTCTTCAAGAGTTTTACATATTTTGTCCCTCAGTAGGTGTTTCTATTTAAATGTTTAGATTTTGGATCCATTTTTATTTTTAGGATATGTCGAGAGAGGTTACATTTTTAATCTTCTGTACATTCACAACCAGTTTCCCTAGCTCCACTTGATCTTTTGATGATAGCCGTTCTTTCTGGAGTGAGAGTGACCAGTGATACGGAATATTTTTTCATATATTTATTTATTGAATATTTATACATATATCTATCTCATATATATAATAATTACTATTTTGACTCTGGGGATTGAACTCACAACCTTGTACTTGCCAGGCAGGCACTTATGCTGTTGAGCTAAATCCCTGGCTTTTTATTTCAAGTATTTTATACATTAATATTCTGTTTTACTTCTTCATCTGAGAAGTGGGCATCTATTCATTTCAGATGCCCATTTGTGAATAATCTTTAAATTTGGAAGGTCTGATTTTTCTTAGTTCTTTATATATTCTAGATATCAGTCTTTTGTCTGAGAAATAGCTGGTAAAATTTTTTCCCACTCCATGGCTTGTCTCTTGAATCTATTAATGGTTTCTTTTCTTTTTTTCTTTTCCCTCCCCTGATTTTTTTTTTTCTTTTTTTTGTCTTTTTGAGGCAGGGATTACAAGTGTATGCCACCATGCTTGGCTGCAACATACAAAAGCTTTTTACTGTGTGATCCCAGTTGAGTATTTGTAGTATTTCCTATGTGATCAGGGTTTTGTTCATAAAGTCTTTGCCTATACCTATGTCTTAAAATTTTACCTATTCTATCTTCCAACAGATTAAGAATTTCTTTTTTTTTAAGTTTCTGTTTTACTATTTAATCTTCAATCCATTTCAGTTTTACTTTAGCACATGGTGTGAGATATAGGCCTAGGTTTAATCTTCAACATGTGCAAAGTCAGTTTTCCCAGCACCATTTATTTAAGAAGCTATCTTTCTTCCAGTGAAGGTGTTTGGCCCCTTTGTCAAAGATAAGGTAGCTGAATGTGTTTGGAGTTGTTTCTGCCTCTTCTGTTCTGTTCCACTGATCCTTGGATCTGTCTTCTCTGCCAGTACTAGGCTAGTTTTTATCATGGTAATTTTGTAGTATAATTTCAGGTTGGGGATTGTGATGCCCAGGTGTTGCCTTTATTGCTCAGAATGCTTTTGCTATGCTAGGTCACTTATGGTTCTAAATTAAGGATTGTTTTCTCTAGTTCTTTGAGGTATGCTATTGGTATTTTGATTGGGATTACATCATCTGTATATTAGTTTTGGAGATATGGTCATTTTTACCACATTTGTTCTGCCCATCTAACAACAAAGGATATTCTTTATTCTTTTTTTTTTCCCTTTTCTGTTTTTGTTTTTCTTGGGACAATATCTTGCTATATATTTTAGGTTGGTTTTGAGCTCACTTTGTAGTCCAGGCTGGCCTCAAACGCACAGTGATCCTTCTGCCTCAATCTCCCAAATGCATACATGGGTGAGCCACCATGCTTGGCTTTCATTTTTCCTTATACTGTTCAATCTCTTTTTTCAGAGTACTGTAGTGTTTTATGTAAAGATCCTTTACTTCTTTCATTAGACTGATTCCTAAGTATTTCATTTTCCTTGATGCTGTTGTGTGAAAAGTGTCATTTTTCTAATTTCTTTCTTAGTGAGTTTGTTGGATACAGGAATGCTATTGGTTTTTTTTTTTTTTTTGAGTGTTGACTTTGTATCCTTCTATACTACTGAATTTGGTTATTATTTCTAGGAATCTTCCTTTGGAGTTTTTGGGTCTTCTATGTAGATATGTCATCTACAAATAATAACATTTACCTTCTTCCTTTCCTATCCTTATTCTTTTTCTTTCTTTTTTCTTGTCTAATTACTCTGGCTAAAGTTTTCAGAACTATATTGAATAAGAGTGGTGATAATGGACATTCTTGTCTTGTTCATGATTTTAGAGTAGAGGCTTTCATTTTTTGGCTGTTTAATATGATGCTAGCTATTGATTTGTCATAGATGGCTTTATTATATTGAGGTAAAGACTATATCTATCCCAATTTTCTGTAAAGTTCTTACCTTCAATGAGTGTTGGACCTTTTCAAAAGCTTTTTGTGCATCTGTAGAAATGATCATGTAAAAAAAAAAAAAGAAATGATTATGTGACTCTTACTTTTGGCTTTATTGATATGGTGGATTACATTTATTGATTTGCATATGTTGACCCATCCCTGCATTCCTGGGATGAATCCCACTTGGTCATAGTTTATAATCTTCTTGATGATTTGTTGTATTCTGTTAGCCAATATTTTATTGAGAACTTTTGCATCTATGTTCATTAGGGAGACTGACTTGTAGTTTTCTTTTTTTGTTGGATCTTTCTCTGGTTTTGGTATTAGAGGAATACACTTCCAGGAATGAGTTAGGGAGAATTGTTTCCCTTTCAATTTCATTGAAGAGTGTGAGGAGTGTTGGCATTAAGTCTTTGAATTTCTTGTAAAAGTCTAAAGTGAATTCATGAGGACTTGGGATTTTCTTTTTTGGTAAGGTTTTAATTACATTTTCAATTTCATTAATTGAAATTGGAGTTATTCAGCAGTTTTACACCTTCT